CCAACTGGGCAGTTAACTGTTAGCTGGCAGTCTCCACACCAAGAAGTGAAAAGTTTCAACTTCAAGGCATACAGTTTCCTCGTAGAGGGAGCTCTGGACTGGAGGATGGTCTCAACAACCTCGGTTGAGAGACCAGAAGCTACGAGTTGTGCCCCCTCAGGGGCCACACCCACAAATTGTACAGTTCCGGGCGGGGGTGAACTAAGGTGCCCCCCGCTTGAGAGAGGAGGTCCCTGATGGGAATCTCCCATGGAGAGCCGTCGAGAAGGGACACCAGGTCCGAGAACCAGAACAGGGCCACTAGCAGTAGATGGACCCCGTCCTGGCATACTCTCTCCAGAACTCCCGGGAGCAGAGCCATCGGGGGAAAGGCATACAGATGAAGCCTCGGCCAAGTCTGTACCATAGTGTCCAGTCCGAGAGGAGCTGGATGAGTCAGAGAGAACCAGAGGGGACAGTGCGATGTCTGCTGGGTTGCAAACAGGTCCACCTGAGCCTGGCCAAAAACTCTCCATATCTGCTTAACCAACTGGAGTGAAGCCTCCATTCCCCGGGCCTCGGCCCCTGCCTCGACAGGATGTCTACTCCCATATTGAGATGCTCAGGGATGTGAACTGCTCTAGGAGTTTGCCCTGGAACCACACAAGAATCTGGTGCGCCAGCCTGTAAATGGGCTGTTCTAAAGAACGCAGACCTCCCTGGTGATTGAAGTCGGTGTTGTCGGTGTGCACCAACACATGGCGATCTCTTATGTCTGGGAGAAAGTGTTTTAATGCTAGAAACATGGCCAGCATCTCCAGGCAGTTGATGTGCCACGTGAGATGGTGACCACTCCACAGACCGCGGGCTGAGCGGCCACTCGTGACCGCTCCCCATGCGGTAAGGGACGTGTCCGTCGCTAGCATTATGCGGAGACAAGGAGCTCCCAGCACCGGGCCCTGAGACAAGAACCAAGGCTTCCTCCACATGTCGTACCCGATATTGGTAAGCTTTGCCCCTTAAAAGCAAACCTCAGGAACTTTCTGTGTTGGGAAGGATGGAGATATGAAAGTATGCGTCTTTTAGATCGATCGTGACAAACCAGTCCTCGGACCTGACATGACTTGTTTGATTGTGAGCATCCTGAACTTCAGTCACATGACTGAGCGGTTCAATTGATGCAGATCTAAATTGGGACGCAACTCTCGGAACTCTATCGAGAGGAGGGACCACCTCGATGGCCTCCTTCCTCAAGAGAGTGTTTACTTCTTGTTCCATTACCAGAGCCTGCTCGGGGCCCACCAGAGGGGGAATGACCCCGTTGAAACGAGACAGAGGATAACTGAACTGGATTCTGTAGCCTCTCTCTACAGTGTGCAGGACCCATTGAGAAACATTTGGCACAAGTTTGCACGCTGCCAAATAGTCCACTAAGGGAATCAATCTCTCGAGACTGACCTCTGGTGTAGTCAGAGCGGCTAGCTTGGTGACCTGAAGTGGCGGACAGGCAGGGGATGGCCGAACTAGCTGCTCTAGAGACCTCCGAAGAGGTAGCGAGCCTCCCAGTACCGCTACGTTTCTGGGTGGAAACTGAGAGAAGCGCTCGCCGGAGAGCGCTGTGCCCTGAAGCAGGGCACAGGGTTGGCAGATCGATCTCCTGAGGGCACTGAGGAGAGACGAGCACCGTAAAATGAGGTGTAAACCACTCTTCCCCAGAGGGGCCTGCCCTCAGAAGTCCTGAGCCACAAGCGTCAGGACTTCGCGGCCAAGGTCTTCTTAGACAGAAGAACGGTCCGCAGATCCGGCTTCGCCTTAGAAGACCCCGGACCCGACGCGGGGGAGCACGGGAGGCAATGCTCTGTTTTTCGAGCTTGCTTTTCTGCGGTTCAGCCTGTTTCTCGTGGACCAGTCGATGTTTAGCTTGGCCACGGCGCGAGTAACCACCTCCAATAGCTCCTCATACTGGGGCGATTGAGGGGGCGAATCCTCATTAATGCCCTCCACGTCAATCTCCTCGGAGGAAGACAGGCGGAGCATCGAGCCGTCTCCCCGGGGTGAAGAAACCGCAGAGCGGTCTTCCGATTCCAGAGAGCGGGCACTGGATCTGGTGGGTGAGGAAGAAGAAAGGGAGTCGCCCATCTCCATTCCCTCCACCAGATCCATCTGCGATCCCCACGAGTGCAGCCACCTCTCCGCCTCGGCGGAAGTGGGGCAAGGACCGCGAGGAATGCTGGTGAAGGCTCCCTCCTTGAAGAGAGCCTTCCGGGAGCACTACTTTCTTGAGAGCTGACTCTGTGTGCTTCGCTCCCAAGCAGACCGCACAGACTGTGTGTATCCCCACCCATAATGTAGCCGGGCAGGGAGGAACACAGCCTGAAACACTGTCTGCTCTCGCCCAAGCGTTTTGTCTTATCACTCGCCTTTGGCATGACTTATAATGAGGGACAGACAACACACAGAGGAGACTGACACACACACAGAGCACTTGCTGAATGACAGAAAGCTGCCGCTGTATCCACCACACGTGCTTTTAAGCTTTCTGGTCACTAAGTCACCCCGCCCATGATGTCTTGCCCATCCATTGGACTGATTACACACGGGATTCTCGAGACGTGGTCACGCTGAAGGCATTCCCATAGCGTTTCGAAGCAGCTCGAGATCCTGAAGGGGAACCCCATACACCAACACAAAAATGGCCCAGAGCAACCATAGGTCTACACACGTATTGTGGATATACCACAGCAGGAGTCACATACACACAGACACACATACACACATCTCACTGTCTGTTAAGATCTCATTAGAAAGACATGTTGATACCTATTGTCTCTTCGCAAAACCTCAGCAAATAGATTCATTAGGAGTGAATCAGCGTTGAGGTTTAATGACACAGATAATCAATACTGTCACTGTGACCTTTCTCACCGCAGCACATTTATTCTGATTTATTCAGTCTTTTTGAGAGGTATAGACAATCAAGTGAACTTAAAAAGACATGCAACTAATTAAAAGATACATCAGTTAAAAAAATCACTCACATCTTAGTATTAGTATTGAAGAAAATATTTTTAAATGTGAGAAAAGATGCTAGAGTGTGAATTTTGTGAAAGAAAAGAATGAATGAATTCATTTATTTATATATTTGAAAGAATGAAAGAAGTCAGGTATAAACATCAAAGTGCACAGTGCAAAAAAATGTAAAAAAAAAAGATTATTATTTTAAATTAAAAAAAATGTTTTATTCAAATAAAAAAATTACATTACTGAATCAACCTAAATAAATTAGGTTACACCAACAAAACTAAATTTTAGAAATCAGTAGACTGACACTGAGCTGGACTTAAAGTTACAGAAGACTGTGGTCTATAAGCTGATTGTCTTTGTAACACAGCAGGAAAAATGCTCGGCCATTTAGAGCCAAGTCTCCTTCACACCCACATCATTACACAACACATGGATCCCAGCAGGCCAATAAACACATTGTAGCCTCTTTGAAAGGCATTTATTGATATAATTATTGATCATCCGAACATCAATCATATTGATGTATTTGTACCATTTCAATTGCATGAACTATGTTTAAGCAAATAATTATATTTCCATATTTATTCATGGAGGCTTGATGAAAACTGCTGGCACACATATATACTACTCCACGGACATAAATATTTTAAACTATAATACAGTGAACTCTGATTGTGATCATATTACCTACATTGTCATGGCATAAATGTTATGAACGATGTTGACATTTTTGAATGTGCCATGCAGATTGTTTTTGGGTAATATGATAATACTGCTATAATGTTGATGGATTGTTAAATGAAACAGGAAGAATCTATGATGAGGGAGAGAGAGGATGGTGGTTCTTATCACCAACTATTTTTAGGCCTGGTTGATTGCAGATTTATTCTCCCAGGGGAGTTGCGTGTGTGTGTGTGTGTGTGTGTGTGAGAGAGAAGGAGAGAAAGAGAAATAGGAAGAGGAGAAAACTGCTCTGGGAGACACAGCTGTCACTCAGCACATGTATAAAATGGCTAATTTCTGCTTGTGCGCTCCCTGGTGTGCAACACTAATGTCTGCATGCATTGAACACACCTTTATAAGAGAGATTAAGAGAATTGAGACGCAAAAAGGTGGAAAAGGACAATACGCTCATATGCATCAGAGTGCTGGACACAGGTCAGAAGGAATAACCTGAGAGAGAAAACAAAAACAGCTGTGAAAAGAGCAACCACTTTGAATAGGAGACAAGAGAATCCAGTCTGACAGAACAAAGGCAGCTCTCAGTAGTAGGAATGTTTTGTAGCTGTCAGCACCAATGCCAGTGTGTATGTGTGAGAGAGATTTCAGGGATTTAAATGTCTCCTTTGCTCCTCCTCCCACTAAAAAGAGCATTTGCCAGTTTTGTAGCTCAGCAAAGGAGAGAAGGACAGACCTTCAGTGAGTGAAGAGGGAACACAAAGATAATTCATCATAATACAGCATGCGAGAGCGAGAGCGAGAGGAGGGGGTGATACTGGGGGAAGCCACCAGTCTGTTCCCCTCCCCCTGCCTCTCTCACACAGCAGCTTAATAAGTCTGTGTCATCTGCCTGAAGTGTGTGTATGTGTGTGTGTGTGTGTGTGTGTCTGTCTGTCTGTGTGTGACTACTACATGTGTCTGGGCAAACATGCCTGCATATACAGACACACAGGTGAGATTTTAATGGTCACACATTTGTATGTGTGTGTGTTTGTGTGCACCGTGCACATTTGTGTTTGGCAGTGGTTTTGGGATGTCTTGCATGCTGGCATGCAGAAAAATGGCATTCATCACATCCAATCTGTCAATGGCAACAAAGACAGAGAGACAAACTCAAATAGCAAAAGGGAATTACCACACTGTTCCTTATGGACACACTAACCACAAATGCAGACACATCACTACCAATCACTACACAAACACAAGTGCTTGAGGAGACAACATAGACAAATATGGATTGGTCACATTGGCCATATTACACACACATTTATTGCAAGTGTGTGTGTGTGTGAGTGTGTTTACCCTGTGTGTTTACTATTACTAATTATCTAGCAACCCTCTGCTTTAGGATTTGTCTATTTGTCTATAGCAGTGATGGGCAAACTTGGCCCTTCCAGGCCACTTTCCTGCAGAGATTTGGTCCAACCCTGATAAAACTCACCTGGCTGTAGCTTTCTAGTAGTCTTGAAGACAATGATTAGCTGGTTCAGGTGTGTTTGATTAGAGTTGGAGCTAAACTCTGAAGGAAAGTGACCTGGAAGGGCCAAGTTTGCCCACCCCTGGTCTATAGCCTACATTAAATGTTAATCTACAAAGGACAGGCTACTAGTCTACAGCCAACTAAATGACACCACACAGCAACAATGGAACCACTACAGAAGCTTTATTTTAAGAGTGTACAGCCTTAATAGATAAAGTTCTTAGGCTGAAATTCGATTAAAACTATTTGAGAAACTTTACCTTCATGGGGGACTAATATGGCGGGGTTTTTTTTTTAAAACGTTAAAAAATCGTAAGCCTCACAAACCTCTTGTGCATATCACATGCCCGTTTCTATAATTTTAAAGGAAAGTATTTTGAATCATATTTATTTTCCTTTTTTCTCTTGCACTGTGTGATGCACATATTTCCATGCTCAGAACGGCTGTCCTCAGTTGTTTACCTGTCTGCCCACGTGAGACTTGCATAGAGAATGGGTGACATTGTAATTATGTGAAGCAGATACACGAGAAATGTGCTTTTGGCACTGATGCCATCACGTCAGGTTGACAGAGCATGTGACAGACCTCTGGCTGATCTTACCAGCAGACGTTCACGTTTCTCTCCAATCTCACCAATTCTGCTCAAGTGCTCAAGAAACGTGGCACTTCGGTAGATGATTACAGCTGTATTGCTCACATAGCTTCAAACAATTCACGCTGCAGGGCATTAGGGAAGAAAGTGAAATCACTGGCAAATGTTTAAATTGTAAAACTATGCTACTAAAATCAGCTGATCATTATGGCAAAACTGTGACCAGGGCACAGGTGCGAAGCAGCTGGTCTTGTATCATTTTGTTGTGTGATAATTAACTATCATGATGATTTGAGCTAAAATTATTGTATTATCTTACTTGAAGATTAGGTTTCAGGAAAAAAAAAATCAAGCAGTGATAAAAGTTAATTAACTATGAAACTATGAACTAGCTATTATCTACAAAGAAAAATGACCTTGTGACCATCACATGTGTAACGGGGCTGACGAGACGTGTGGATCCATCTGCAAGCTTTTATTTCAGAGACGTGGTCATAACAGGCAGGGTCGAACAATGGCAAACAGGTATGTGGCAGGCAAAACACAAGAATAGTCCTAGGACTAGCGTAGGTCAACGATCGGCAGACAGAACCACAGGGGTGAGACGAGAAGGATAAATCCAGGGAAACAGGCAAGTCAAGGCAAAACAAGGAAACACAGAGACTCGGAACAGGGTACAGGCTAAACAATACTCAGCAGAGAATGGTAGTTTGAGTGAGTGTTATATAGTGAGTGAGTGAAATGAAACAGCTGTGCAATCAGTGCTGTGTGCGATCAGTGAAACATCTGTGTGCAATCAGTGCTGTGTGCAATCAGTGCAATGAATGATGGGATATGTAGTCAGGGGTGATATGCAACAGTTTGTGTTGCGTACAAGAGTCAATGTAATGAAAGGGTGACCGCTGGTGGTGATTGAACGGAAGTCCATGGACAGGATTCGTGACATGTCTCTATTTCTCTGTTTTAAAGTTTTCTCAGCTTTTATCTCTTAGGCTACTGGTACTTCTTCCAAGCAATGTGTTTCTGGGTTTACATGGAGAATTGTGACTCTCTAGCTATCTGGATTTTATGCTTAGCTACCGTTTAGAAATTACTACGTTGTCTTGTCGATAGGTAGGCTAGTCGTAACGGTGTTAAATCTCAAAATGGCATTCTAATTAGGCGAACGTCTATTCTAATCCAAACGTAAATTGTAGGCTAAATCTAGTTTTTATTTGTAGTTTTTTTTTATTTCCGTTAGCCATATGTACAAACCCGATTCCAAAAAAAGTTGGGACACTGTACAAATTGTGAATAAAAACAGAATGCAATGATGTGGAAGTTTCAAATTTCAATATTTTATTCAGAATACAACAGATGACATATCAAATGTTTAAACTAAGAAAATATAATTTTAAGAGGAAAATAAGTTGATTTGAAATTTCATGGCATCAACACATCTCAAAAAAGTTGGGACAAGGCCATGTTTACCACTGTGTGGCATCCCCTCTTCTTTTTATAACAGTCTGCAAACGTCTGGGGACTGAGGAGACAAGTTGCTCAAGTTTAGGAATAGGAATGTTGTCCCATTCTTTGTTTTCAATTAATATGACAACACTTTTCCTGTGGCCTTTATGGGATAGTAAAGTGTTCATTAGATGTGCATTTCAAAATGTTGGCTGAAGCAGTAAGCCATTATGAATATTTTTTCAGCATAGTTGGACATATTAGGGTAAGGTCAACTTTGCGCCGTGAATCACCGGATCGGCTTTCACCGTGAACAAAGCAGAGTCCAGCCCGGGTTCGTCACATGTGTTTGCCAGACGCTCCTTCGTCGAATCCGCCGGCTGCGCCATTCTCAAGCCCACCGCTGTCGCTCACTCAGCACGCCGGCCGTTCCTCACACTAGACGCTGGCCTCCGCTCACATTTTATGGAGGACTGTTTGCTGATCCTGGTATAGAGTAGACTACCACAGTCTACTCACAGACTGTAAGTAAGTTTTTTATATTTAAAGGATTTGCCACTGATGATTCAAACGCGAGTTTTGGGCAGTGTAGAGTAGCGCTTGTTGTTTGTCATTTCTCCAATCACAAATGCAGACATGGTTTTATGTTTATGTGGCGCGATGCAACGCAACACGTAAAAAGACAGTACAAGTCATTATAATACATAATTATATCCCCACTGGATGCAATAAATGCCTCGTTTATAATGGGTTTTAATGTTTTTGTCTCGTCGCTCTATCACAGTATGGTAGGGGCGTAACATTTCCATCACACGCTTGAGGTATTCATTCGGCCAATCAGACCGATGAGTTTTGTAAAAATCGATGTGTTTCAGAAAGGCGGGACATAGAGGAGAAACAATAATGTACAGTATGTGGAAAATAATATGTTTTTTTTACCTTAAACCACATAAACACATTTCATTACACCAAATACACAAAATAATGTTATTTTTAGAAACATCATATGACCCCTTTAATGGGAAAAAAACTTGATTTATGTTATTACATTTACATTTAGTCATTTAGCAGATGCTTTTATCCAAAGCGATTTACAAATGAGGACAATGGAAGCAATCATAATCAACAAAAGAGCAATGATATGCAAGCAAGAAAACAAGCAGTAAATGAATAGAGTGCAAGTCTAAAAGGGATAAGTTTGTTTGTTTATTAAAATCTAATTGTAATACAGTTTACATTGTAGGTCACATGATAATGGCAACAGGCCATATTTAGTATGTCCAGATTATACTACAAACATCCACACCAAACATCCAAGGTATTGTTGAGTTTGGAACAGATTGTAGAAAATTAACGTTTCATCATTAGTCTTACCAATGGATTTGGTAAGTTTGGAGTTTAAACAACTTTTAAAAACATCATAATCCACAAGTAATCCACATAAATCAAGTCCATCAATTAATGTCTTGTGAAGCAAAATATGCATGCTTGCAATAAACAAATCCATCATTAAGATTACTTCAAATCGTTATTTTCTGTTAAAATGAGTCCTCTATCAACAATATTGCTTTCGTCAGTGGATGCAATACTAATGTAATGTTATTTCTCCAAATCTGTCCCAATGACAAATTCAAACGAACTCATCTAAATTTTGGATGGGCTGAGGATAAGTACTTTTTCAGAAACACCCATCCCTCTTTCTGGTCCTCTACACTGTGCATATTTTAATGCTTCCTCTATTTTCATTAGCACCTCTTCTGCTCTTGGCCCACCGCTGCAGCAGTAATTGATAATTAAAGAGCAATAACTCAGCAGTCAGTGCAATCTCTCAGCAGGAGCTGCCCACCCCCCCACACACACAGATTTATGCCAGCATGTACACAAACAACACACATTAACACACACACACACACACACACACACACACACACACACACACACTGACAGTTAAAATACAAAGAGATGTAGTGTGTGATGTTTGTATATGATTCCACTGGAAGGCTTTCAATATTTGGGACATGTGAAATGTATGATAAAATACAAATACTATTGATCTAACCCATGTCAGGCTTATACATGTGACTTCACACACACACACACACACACACACACACACACACACACCTCAATTATTAGTCTCCCAGGCATCCTCTCAAAGTACATAATGGTCAGGCAGGGGCTGGCAGTGTAATTGATGTAATTTTAGGATATAGCACATCCAGGGTGAAAGGGGCTTTAATGTTTCATTTTAGAAGCGATTTAAAGAATTTTTTACCCACAAGAGACTCTTAATGCTCCTCTCAGATCGCCTCCCTGTCTGGGTGCTTTTACAGTTCAGGTTCCTTGTTAGATTTCTACAGAGGCAGGAGGTCTCTTTAAACATCAGTGATGGGGAATCTTGACTGACAAAGGGTAAGTGTTCATATTATTGTTCAGATCAGGTAAACAACACGAAGCTAGCATCAAACAGAAATAAAAATCCTTCTGTATGTATTTTGGACATGGACGCAATTATGTTTAATCTTTTAGGAGTGATGCTTCTCTACAGGTCTCATTTAAGCCTTTAGTTTGAAATAATAAATTATTCCTATTATATTCTATAGAATTTTAAAAAGCCAAATATGTATTTTAACAGGTTACAGAGGTGTACAATCTATCTATCTATCTATCTATCTATCTATCTATCTATCTATCTATCTATCTATCCATCTATCCGTCTATCTGTCTGTCTGTCTGTCTGTCTGTCTGTCTTTTCAACCACAACCTGAAATAAAAGTCTGTCTGTCTTTTCAACCACAACCTGAAATAAAATTCATGCTACACAGATGCTTTTATAATGGTTCCTTCAAGTAGTTAAAATGCTTATACCACATGCTTTATGTAAAGTCAACAAAATGGTATGATATTATATGCTTCGAGGAAAAATTGAGTGCAAAGTACAACAAAGCGATGCTTTGAGTTTTCATCCTACTTGAAAATGTTCTATTATTGCATTTAGGGACTCTGAAAGACCAGATGAAAGGCTGTTATTGATAGGGTTCCATTGTGATCATTGGTAGCTGTAGAACCTAATGCTTCTTAGCTTCTCATAGAACACATCCTTCCTGAAATTATTTATAGTTCAAGTTGTTTTATAGTTTAAACCATTCAAAGCGCATGCCAGAGGGACTACTGTAAAGATAAGACTGGCAAAAGCGATCTGATGTGTAATTATTATGCTTTATTGTGTTTTTATT